TGCTGTGCTGGAACTGTTCCCGGACTTCGAGATCAGTATGGCAACCTAAAAAACGCGTTGTTTTGCAGGGCTTGCCGTTTAAAAGACTAGCTGGTTTTTCCCTGTCTAGCCCAGCCTTTCACTTGGATGGAGGTATATGCTGTATCATTAGCCAGCATAGTTACTGGCCAGCATAGTTACTGCATTGCAAGGCTGCCTTCACCCCGAGAAGTTCACGCGATTCCATCGACGCGATTCATTGGTACAAGACAAATGTTACGAATTCATTGCATGCCGATGTTTTTGTATTTCGGTTGTGATAATTTTCCCACACGACTAATCGTGAGTAACTGCCACAACCGAGATAGAAGAAGACTGGCATGGAATGAACTCATAACACTTGTCTTGCAGCGATGAATCGTGACGATGAAATCGCTTGAACTCTGTCTTGGGCCTTACAAGTAGTCTATGTTCTCTGCTGGGGTCGAAAACATGTGTGTAAAAATTTTGATATCCATCGGTTCACATGCAATAGCTTCTAATCCGAATATATGAACGACCGAGTCACAAACTTTGTGTTTTATGAAAGTAGAAATTTACGTGCATTTTTAATATCACTGCGGTTGTTGCTTGAGTAGCACTCATTGATTTTTCTTTGACCTGATATAATACGTCAATGTTGAGAGCGCAGTCGAATTTTCCAGATTTCTCTGGTCCTACTCACATTTGACATTCAGATAACGTTTATGGGAGACTACGGAGTATACAGACTCTATGCAGAAGATGAAGATATGCAGGTCCTCTCACTGCCTTACGCGGACGAATCGTTTGCTCTGAATATATTCTTACCGAAGCAAAAGTATGGTTTGTTTCGTTTCAAATGAACAAGAGCATGCCATTCTAGGCTCTAATCTTCAGATTTGGTCTTGACGAAGTACGAGCGAACATGACGGGTGAAAAGGTTCAGCAGCTTCTGTCCGACCTTACAAGGACAAAACTATCGGTATGTGCACAACTCCCAACGACAAACCAACACACCTTTAAATCGTGGTAACATGATTAAGAACAATTTACTCAAAAACTTATCTTTTCTATCTCAGGAATTCATCATTTATCATTTTGTCCATCACAGAAGAAACTAGGTTGGAAAGGAAAGAATGATGACCATGCTGCCGAGGCAGGCTAAACACCGAAAACAAATGAGAAAGCGCAGTTTTTGATTCAAAGTTAGCTCTAATAAATGTGTAGATTCAGGCATAAACTGTGACCCTCGTAAAAGTTACAGACAAAAACTATAATTTTTTCGCCATGTCAAAAATCGGATCCAGTTCTCAGTTCAGCTGAACGGGGTCAAGTTGAATACCGTTTTTGAAGGAAATGCAAAGGGAATAACTTTGCTGGTCTAGAGTGGAGCTTCGGAAAGACTTGCAGAGATATGTTTCGAGATTCTAGTATCAAAAAAGCGTCGTAAACGGTATTGCAATGACAGAAATTTTTGTCAAATTCGTTTCAGACATACGGCTTTAACAAGTTAAAAGTGAGGCACGCGCCATATTTGATCCGCTTGATCCGCTTCATCCACTTCGCTACTGATCAAAT